CCTATGGCGTAATTTGGGATCAGGTATAGTGATTTGTGTGCTATATGGAGTTGGAGACTAGGAGTTCTCGTGTTCAGGCTATGCAGTTGTTGTAAATCGTGTGTATCGGCACCGTCTAGCGGTTATTGGGAATTAGAGGTCCGAGGGGATCTTTCTTTGCTTGGTATGCCAAATTTTGGATATGATATTGGATTGTAGGCTGGTTGTCTCAGTGTTGGGTTATTCTAGACTATTGTGCTACGGGTTAGGCCGGAAATGCCACGGGTTGAGCGGCAAGGTGCATTGGATTATGTTCTTGCAGAGTGGTATATATTTCAAAAGATGCAGCGAACGGCTGAGAAGGATTGCTTTTCTTAATGGGGGAATATGTCAGTGCAGAGGTTTCTACCATTGATTCAGTTCTGTTATTGAGTGACTTTTCGGATGCTTTTTTGTGGCCGGGCATGTCGCCGGGTGAGATGGCGGATTTCGGTATTTATTTGGTGCCGGGCACCGTATCGTACGGCTCTGGCAGGAGTTATAGTAGTGGAAGGAGCAGCTTCAGGCTTCTTGGTATTGAGTTCGTTGGCAGGCCAATGTGGCTACGTATTTAGCTTGAGTTAGCTTGGTTAGTCTTGAGTTGTATTGTTGAGGGACAGGTGGATTCGATCGTTATTGAACTTGTTAGTGATCTGGGGAGATCTATGAGTTGCTTTTTCTGTGCTGTGAGGCGTTATGATTTGTTGGTTATGGGCACACGTGGTGCAGATCTATTGGGGATTCATAGTGGAAGTCGAGCGGGAAGAGTAATCGGATGTTGCTCGGTAAATGGAGTGTGGGTTATGACCTATCAGGTGGCGTGTCGTATGTTGTTTATTTCACCGTGGGTGCAATGAATTGCCTTGGTTTCAGACATCAAATTGTGTGTGGCTGTCGAATTTTGATCACAGTGTCTTGGGGTGCTTCATGTGTAACAGTGTTTGGATAGGATCGCGCATTGTAGCGAGGCTGCGTGGAGTTATGACCTTTCGGGGTAAATTCAGGTGTTCTATTTCTATGATGTGAGACGGGGTCTCAGCCTTTTGTTGTTATGATACTGATGAGCTTGAAGTACAGCTCTTTTGTTTGAGTTATTTTCATGATTTGAGTATATTCAGGTCGTTTCTTGTTGGTACGCGAACTATGCAAGTTGTAGCTTAGGCCTGTATTGAGGTATCATATCACCAGAGTGGTGTGTTGGATTCGAGGTGATCGTTGGAGTCATTAATGAATACGGACAGATTTGATCTCAGCTTGTTAGGAAAATAATATCGAGGTTTGACCCGGAAATCTGTGGTGATATTAGTCAAAGGAAGTGGCCTCATGAATGGTCGATCTGAGAGATGGTTACAGTTTATCGCGTGTTTCAGTTGTCGTCGGCAGTATATGAAAGTGTTGAAATAAGATTTTAGCTTAAAAAAAGTTTTCTATCGGTATTTGGTTATTGTGGGCAACTGCTGCGAATAGAATTTATCGTTTCGAGTGTTTGAGCTATATAGTATATCATGTGATTGAGGGTTACTACAGCTGGTTCGGGCTTATTCTGAGTACAGATGTGAGGTTCTGATATTGTGTATGGTTTCGGAAAGTGCAATGTGGTTCTATAGTTTATGGTTTAGAGGGACTATGAAATTTCAGCTATATGGTGTTATCGGACCTATGCAAGGTAGGGTGACGAGGGATCACCCCGGGTATATGCTTGGTAAGGTCATTCAGCTATTGGGTTGCTTCTAGTACAACTCTGGGTACGCTCGAGGACGAGCGTTGGTTTAAGTTGGGGAGGATGTGACGACCCGACCCGTCATCTCATGTGTTACTGCTCCGTTTTCCCCGTTTATTTCTTCTTCATATTTCGTTATCGGTATGTGGTGTGTGAGAGTTGATTTGGATTGGTTTTGATAAGAAATGAGACACTTAGTCTCTTTAAGGAAGGCTTAAGTTGGAAAAGTCAACCAGACGTTGACTTATGAGTTATAACGCTCGGATATGATTTCCGGTGACTGGGTTAGCTTCGAGAAGTTATTTGTGACTTAGAAGTGCGATCGGAATTGATTTTGGAGGCCCGGTGTAGAATTAGGCTTGAATTGGCGAAGTTAGTATTTTTGCGAATTCCGGTTGGTAGGTGAGATTTTGATCCGAGGGTCGGAATGGAATTCCGAGAGTTGCTATAGCTTCGATATGTGATTTGCGATGTGTGTGCAAAATTTCAGGTCATTCGGACGTCGTTTGGTTGGGTTTTTGATCGAATGCGTAATTCGGAAGTTTTTAAGAAACTTAGGCTTGAATCCGATGTGATTTGATGGTTTTAGCGTTGTTTGAAGTGTTTTGAGGATTGGAACAAGTTTGAATAAGGTATTAGGATGTGTTGGCGTTTTTGGTTGAGGTCCCGGGGGCCTCGGGGTGAATTCAAGTGATTAAACGAGAGTTTTTAAAGTTTGCTTCAGGTCTGTTGCTGCTGTCATCTGATATTTCCGCTTCTGCGGAAACGGACCGCAGAAGCGGTTCCGCATAAGCGGGTGAGCGATCGCAGAAGCGGTCCTTGAGGGCTTGGCAATTTTCGCAGAAGCGATAGGCTGTCCGCAAAAGCGGACATCGCAGGAGCGGTTTGCGACCGCAGAAGCGGTTATTTTGATGCAGAAGCGGGAACCGCAGGTGTGGTATCCCAACCGCAGAAGCGGAGACCTGGTTGTGTTTAAGTGAACAGTGTTTTCACGATTTTGAAAGAGAAGAAACACTTTGGACTTCGGACTAAGGAGATTTTGGGCGATGTTTGAGGAGGGTTTCGAGGGCTATCATCAGGTATGGATTCTTGGACTTAGATTATGATATTATTGTGTATAAACAAGGATTAACACTGAAAACCCAAGGAATTAAAGGGTAAAAATGGAGGTTAGGGCTTGAAACTTAAGAAAGTTAAACTACGGATTTGAGTGGTCAAATGGACTCCGATTTCGGTGAATTTTATATGTATGGACTCGTGGCGAGACGAGGAATCCGGTGATGTGAATTTTGTAATTTTTCGAGAAGCGGGCCCGGGCTCGGGTTTTGCTAGTTTCGAGATTTCTGCTATTTCTTGGCTGTTTTCGATTGGGTATTGTTCCCTTGGCATATTGTAATGTATTCGCTCTGATTTTGGTTAGATTCGACGCACGTGGAGGCCGATTCGAGGGGCAAAGGCATCGCGAGCTAGGGATTTCACCGGTTCGAGGTGAGTAATACTTGTAAATGATATCCTGAGGGTTTGAAACCCCGGATTTGCACATCATAGTGTTGTATTGTGGTGACTTGCACGCCAGGTATGAGCGTGGGGTAGAGCACCGTTGGGGATGGTGACTTGGTCCGTCCCGGTTGTTGATTTTACTGCGTAATTGACTAAAACCTACTTGATGCTTATCGTGATTTGGGTTGATGTTTTGGGCTTCGTGCCGATTATTTGAATCCTTTAGGGATTATTATTGCTGTTTTCATGACACTTAGCATGTTAAATGACTTCAGTCCTGAGTTAAACACAGTTTTGAAATGTGCAGTCATATTGCTAAAGTTTAAAGACGTAAATTGCATTTTCTGATGTTTTGAGTTAAAAGCTATTACTTGACATTGCCCGAGTGGCTCATTTGCATTGATGATTTCTGGATATATGGATGGCTCGGGCTGCACGCCGCAGCGGTGTTATATTGATATTGCGCTTGGGCTGTAGGAACCCCTCCGGATTCTGAACCTCCACAGTGAGCGCGGGTACCCAAATGGATCGGACTGCACGCCGCAGCGGTCATATGCATTGCATTGCATTCATGCATTGGTTCCTGTTTGTAATACGTGTCATGACATTCACCACTCTCATTTCATTGGCATTCATGCTACTTCTTGCACTGTTTACCAGACGCCCTGGTGTTAATTATTAGTGGAGTGCTGTGCCCGAGGGGCTGACTTATGTGCGGACTTGCATTATCTGATTACGCATTCATTTGCTTGACTGTTGGAAAAGGATATTTTCAAAAGAGGTTTTTAAACTGAGCCAGATATTTTCTAAAGGATTTTTCACGGTTTTACTGTTTTCTCAAAGGGTTGTACTATCCTATATAGCATGATGGAGTGCTCTTAAGTGATTTCTTGCCTCTCAGTTATTATTTACTCTTATTACTCACTGAGTTGGAAGTACTCACTTTACTCCCTGCACCTCCGTGCAGTTGCAGGTATCGTTCACCCGGTAGTAGGTTATTAGCGTATTGAAGGTATTGTTATTGTAGCTGAGCAAGGTGACCGCCAGCGTTCGCGGCACCGGATGTTGTCTTTTGTTTTCCAGAAATTTTACTTGTATATATTTATTGGCCTGTAGTTGTGTTAAGGTTTCCTTAGATGCTCGTGACTTGTGACACCCCGGTCGGGTAGTAGTTAACAGTTTCTAATGCCATTAAGTTGTATCTTCTATTCATTTATGTTTAATAATTTGTTAGTGAAAGGATTTGGGTTAGTTGGCCGGCCTTGTCTTCACGAGAGGCGCCATCACGACCGGGTATGGGAATTGGGCCGTGACACGTCCGCAGACCGAAGAGTCTCCTTCCTCATTCTATCTGTAGTATTTAGATTCTATCATACTTTTGATGTAGATATTCTGGAGATTAGAGCATTTACAGTGTTTCTATTAGCCTGTGGTTCGCGTGAGCTTCCGGGTTTGGGATGGTATTGTAGACTTACGCATTTCCTTTGAGTTGTATAGGCCGAGCGGCCTTATATGCAGTTATTATTTTGATATGTTCAGTTCTAATTAATTATTCCGCAAGTTAGGTTGTTATTTCCGCATTGTTAGGCTTACCTAGTTATAGGGACTAGGTGCCATCACGACATGTTCACGGAGGGCGAACTGGGGTCGTGACATAGAAGCAGTTGGAGAGCGATACTACAGTTGATTGTATATTTTTTACTATTGCTTAAAAACTAAATAATTAATATTGTCATAACACTAATAATTTTTGGATGATTACCCCAAATAGCTTCTCTCGATCCGAACTTTGTCCATCAGGAATCTCTGAATCCTGTTACAAAGAAAAATTTCATGAAATGAACATTCAATTGTGAAGGTAACATACTGATAGACAACTTAATTTAATTTTCGTTAAATGTATGTGGAGTTTAGTAAGAAGATATTCTACACTGAATGTGTCTTCGAGTGAAGATTGGCAGTATTCCTTCAGGTGATCATAATCATCAGTATCTTCACAACAGTATACTCTTGGTGTTTTCTCCCAATATTGGATGGCTTATCAATAACCTTAAACATGAATTTTATATAAAGAATATCATCCAGCTCACTTGGATAAGAACAGTCGTCATCTATAACAGAAGCCTACACCAAATTTCATACGTTAGAAAAGTTATAATTGACAACTAAATTAAGTTTTTTAGTATACCTCAACTAATCCTTGCTTCAATTCTTTTGCGGACTTTCCTATAATCTGCATCGCTTCGCGATTCCAAAGCAATAATGAGATAAAAGCGGTTCCATCAATAACACCAACTTGAAGTCGATACCTGCAAGTCAAAAAAAAAAATTTATCTTGTGCATTTACTTTTTATATGTTTTAAAACCATATGGTATGAAAATTACCTAAGACCAACAGAATGTTGTTCTTCATTGCATTTCTCACAAAAAAATTTGTTCCCAATTTTGTCAACCTTTTTAGTGCACTTGTTGCATGCCAAGTATGACCATCCTCGTTCAAGTTCCAAATTAACCAATTTAGCAGCAATCCAGTAGGTACATTCCTATTTAAGAAAAAAAAATATTGTTCTAAATTATACTGAGAAATCATAAAGTAAATATGCAAATTCATACTAAATTTAACTCACTTCTACACACTAAACTAAATCCGTGATAGTTTTGAATGATACAATTCCTTTGGCTAATTCATCTCTGATAGTTTAACTTTGCTGAGAGCTTGTTTGAGTAATCCGCTCACAGTTAGATGGACATGTTGCAACTAATCTGCATATGTCGTAACGTGGTAAAAGTGATAAATGTTAGTATCATTATGTAATTACCACTAAAAAATATTACACCCTTTACAAACCTAGATTTAAACTCAACATATTGCGGCAGAGTAGAATTTATCCAAAGTTTTGTAGAGTACCAACAACTACGCACTGAGTAGTTACCTGTAGATAAGATAAATCAAAAAGTAGAAGTTAGAAATTTTTTGAAACTAAATTTTAAATATAGATGTAAATTTGGTAAACCTCGAAATTTTTGAGGTTTCATAAATTGTAAAACAACAATCAAAGGTTCGTCGATAGCTCCATTCAAGTAAGGCTGAATTTGATCCACAAGTTCACTCCATAAGGTTGCCGTAATTCTATTCCTCCTATAAGTTTCAAGGTAATCCTTCATCAACAAAATAATATAAATAATTAAACTATAAAAGTATAGTTTGTATTAGCGTATAACTTACTGATCATCTTCGAGTTGAACATTGAGGAAGACACTGTCGTTATCTCCTTGCTTGTGGGTCTTAACATCTTCATACTTCAAAACCTGACCAATGACATCTACAAATATAAAAGTTAGTTAGACAATTTTGTAAAATGTGGTAATAATGGAAGAGAAGAATTACCGAATAATTCTGCCTCATCGACATCATTCTGAGTCATTAGCTGATCAAAAGGACGAAAGTTGAAGATATTCATATGAAATGAAGAATCAACTATTTCCTCAACCGTTGTCCTTTGTGTAAATGTCAGCCTCAGATTGTGTGGTGTGTTCTTTAAACTCAAGTTGTTTGGTACGACGACAAAGTAGTTCATGCGATATAGGCCAAGTTCCTGTATCTTGGTCCTAAAAAATTTAATTACATACTTTCCAATCAAGGCCTGGATACGATCACCCTAAAAAGATAGATTAATTATTAGAATGTATCATATTGCAAATAAATAGAATATATGCACGGATTAGTGCACAATTTGTGAAGGCTTGATGTGGATGATGTTGGAGTAAGGGCAAAGTATGTGACTGTTGCATAATTGTTTCTGTACAAATGACCCCTTGAGGTGATTTTGCACTTCTGTTGGTTAAAGATTAGCATGTTGTTATTATATGAGCCAAGTTGCATAATCGTTTCTGCACAAATGACCAGATTATTTTAACCAAAAGCAAAATGCAAAAGTTTAACCATAAATAATGCTAATCTTTCTAATATACTTTACATGACAAAACTAATATTTGTAGAGTCAGGATGTTGGCGAAGAAATAGTGCTGAAAGCTAAATGCTGCATTTTGTGATCATAATCAACCTCCAGGGGAAAGCGAGGCTCCAAAGATGTGTAAGCATCGAACATATAATAGAATCTTTAAAACTAAGTGAAGTTGAATAAGTAAATTTGCCGTAAGTTCGTCGTAAAGAAATTAATAACAAACTACTTTAAAAAACAGAATCGCTTCTACACAAATGACCAGTTGCATAATCGTTTGTTATTATATGAGCCAAGTTGCATAATAGTTTCTGCACAAATGACCAGATTATTTTAACCAAAAGCAAAATGCAAAAGTTAAACACATATAATTTTTCACAATCAGTACATCTTATTGTGAAAAATTTATCGCTAAAACCCGAAAAGAATAGAAATTTAGAACTATAGTAATTAAGTTGAATATGTTACCTTTGCATCTTGTAAAATCAACTCAATCGAATATGGTTTTCCAGGATTGAAACGATCCGGCATTTCCCACATTCGAACGACTCTAACTTTGAGATTCCATTGCATCGAATTGCTTGAAATTTGACTGATTTCATGAAGTGTTGTAACCATATTTGCAAACTTCTGTAATTTGAGCAGAGAAAATAGAAGAAAGAGCAGACGTTTGAAACATTATTAGTGTAGGAGACAGTTTATAAGTTATGGAGTTAGGTTTTGATGCCCACGTTTGGTTTTGCGAGGAGGATCGTGGAGTATTATTTTCCCCTTTCTTCCTATTTCTATGTAAAATTATTGGTAAAGAAGAGTCCAATTTTTTAAATACATGATCGTGGTAAGAAACTTGGGAGTCCAACAAAACGTGGGAGTCATGTTGTGAATAGATATGCTGAAACGTGGGAGTCTTTGAATAACTGGTCAAATTATATTTTATAATTTTTTGTAAATCTCCTACCTTATGGAGTTTTGTCTGAAAAATTGAAACGTGTCATTTTTTCGTTTTGACACTTGGCGCAATATTATGAATTTGCCTCTCCTTTTCTATAGTAATAGATTGTATGTGTCGTATATGGATCAATTAAACAAATATTTTTACAATTGAACTTTGATCCAAGTTTGTTTTGTGAGATATCCATATTTGCTTCCCATGGTTTGACATACAAAAGAAATATGCGAATAAATATTAGTATTTTCAGAGATAAAGGAAAAGAGACAAAGTGAAGTCAGTAACTCAATAATGACTTATTCAATAAGTGTAATGATAATTTTCTGTAAGATACAATCTTTGATTGAACAACTTAATTAGAAAAGAAATTGTCACGATCACATTCCGCCCTCCGTGAACTGTCGTGACAGCACCTAGTCTCTATGACTAGGTAAGCCTAATCGCAGAAAAGAAACCAAGAATTTTGCGGAAGTAAAACAATTTAAAACATAAATAAGAAATAACAGTGTATAAATGTGCCGCTCGGCATACACCATATTTAACTCTCAAAACCAACACACAAATCCAAGACCCGGAAACCCATGAATCACAAGCTAAGAAGTACTATACAGCTCTAACTCCAGAATGTCTAACAAGAACTGAAAATACAGAAGGGCTAATACTAAACAGCAAGAATAGAAAGAGACTCCACGGTCTGCGGACGCGGCAGATATACCTTGAAGTCTCTACAGAAGTCGCCTCCCTCAAGGATGATAAGCCTGAGAAGAAGTATTTGGATCTGCACATGAAAAACATGCGCAGAAGAGGCATGAGTACACCACAGCGATACTCAGTAAGTGTCAAGCCTAACCTCGGTCGGGTAGTGACGAGGAAGGTCAGGGCCCTACTGAGGTAAATAATAATAATAGTGACAGGTTAAGAAAAACAATATAATTGAGAATCTACAGTGAGAGTCTATACATGATATTAAGAGTACAATAACGAAAACAAAATATAAAGACAAATCACCAGGTAACACCACTCACAAAAGGGATAATAATCAGGGATCTCTTGGTATCCCGAGGATCTCTTGGTATCCTCAATATATATACACTAGGGATCTCTTGGTATCCCGAGGATCTCTTGCTATCCTCAATATATATCGGGGATCTCTTGGTATCTCGAGTATCTCTTGGTATCCTCAATATATACACACTAGGGATCTCTTGGTATCCCGAGGATCTCTTGGTATCCTCAATATATGTCAGGGATCTCTTAGTATCTCGAGGATCTGTTGGTATCCTCAATGTATGATAGGGATCTCTTGGTATCCCGAGGATCTATTGGTAACCTCAATATGCGTGCCAGGGATCTCTTGGTATCCCGCACCTCAGTCCACATCATAAATACGTACAGGGAATCTCCCGGGATGACGTATCGTAGTCCCAAATTAAAACACACCGAAGCAACACAAGGATACTTAATTAAATGCTAAATACGTATCAAGTAAGCAGTTAATTCTAGTCTAACATGCTTCACATAATGCAATTAAAGCAGTTTAAGAAAAAGGAAATTGATTCAACTAAACATACTTTTCTAAACTAACAACAGGCTAAAGTCGCAAGTAGAATAAACAGGAAGGAAAGGAACTCAGCTTAAATACTAAAAATAAAACCGGGTTTTTCAACAATTAGCTCAAGTACGCGCTCGTCACCTCACGTACAAGGCATTTCAATTATCAAACATCATATCCTAATGGGAAGGTCCCCCACACAAGGTTAGACAAGCCACTTACCTCGAACCGGCTCAAAATCAACTAGAAACCACGTTCTTGCCACGAGTATCCAACTCCAAATGGCCCAAATCTATTCAATTCCATTTCATAATGTAAATAATACTTCAAGAAGCTGATTCTACAATTAAATTCTAAGCTAATACGTGAAATTATGTAAAATGACCAAAACGCCCCTCGGGCCCACATCTCGGAATCTGATGCAATTAACATTTTCAGAACCCTCGTACTCTCACGAGTCTACCCATATATATATCTCTCAAATCGGAGGTCAAACACCCATTCAAAACTCAAAAATTCGGTCTATGAAGTTTTATCAAATTTTCCTCTAAAATTCGAAATTAAAAGGAGGATTCACGATTAGATTAGTGGGTTATGAGCAAAAAGGAGTCTAGAATCGTTACCCAATCGTTGCCCTTGAAAATCCCTCGAAATCTCTCCCAAATCCGAGCTCCCAAGCTTGAGTTTTGGTAAAAAAGGCTAACCCTCGGATTTTGAAATATTTATAACTACCCAGGTATTTAATGCATCGCGAACGCGGAGGAAGTCACGCGTTCGCGAAGAAGAAAAGTGAAGGCTGCCAAAAATGCTCTTCGCGAACGCGAGGAACAGTACGCGAACGCGAAGTCCTGGGCTGACAAAGCTACGCGAGCGCGACAAGGGAGATGCGAACGCGATGAATAAAATAGGCTCAGCCCTCAAAGCCAAATTGAACTATGCGGACGTGATGGTTGGTACGCGAACGCAAAGAAGAAATTGGTCCTCCTCCAAAATTACTCTACGCGAACGCGTGGAGGAGGACGCGATCGCGAAGAGGAAAAAGGGGTCTGCAACAGCTGATGGATTTCTGCAATTTTACACAACTCCAAAATGCTCTGTTGAACATCCGAAACACACCCGAGGCCCCCGGGACCTCAACCAAACCTACGGACATATCCCATAACATCATTCAAACTTGCACCAATCCTTATACCACCTAAAACAACGTCGGAAACTCGAATTAGTTAATGATTTAAGCCTAAGAACTTTAATTTCTCTCAAAACACGCTTTCGATCAAAAACCTAACCAAACCACGTCCGAATGACCTGAAATTTTACACACACATCCCAAATGACATGACGGAGCTACTACAACTTCCGGAATTCCATTCCGACCCTCGGATCAAAATCTCACTATCGGACCGGAAACTTCAAAAATTCAAATTTCGGCAGTTCAAGCCTAAATTAGCTACGGACCTCCAAAACACATTGCGAACATGCTCCTAACCACGGAATCACCTAACGGAGCTAACGGAACCATCAGATTTCCATTCCGAGGCCGTCTTCATACTGTTTTGACTATGGTCAACTTTCCAACACTTAAGCTCTCACTTAGGGACTAAGTGTCCCGAAACTCTCTGAAACTTAAAACCGAACATCCCGGCAAATCAAAATAGCAGAAATAAACTTGAGGAAAACAGTTAATAAGGGATCGGGGCGTTAATTCTCAAAACGACCGGTCGGGTCGTTACATCCTCTCCCACTTAAACATACGTTCGTCCTCGAACGTGCTAAGAACTATGTTGGGGTTGTCCGAAATCACTGCTTAACACCTCGATCACCTACCCGTGCTACCACAACTCAGCTGGGTACCCTAGCTCGATCAATCTGAATATATCCTTTTCCACTTAAGCAAATAAGCCTTAGAGCCCAATTCTTATATCCAGAATTCTCTGCCAGGCCTGTCCCAACATACGCTCACCGTATCAATAACTACCCACAGTGCCAAAAGCATGACTGCATACCTTAGTTGAATCCACACCTTGCACCACTTTACTCACAGCACCACAATAACATTCTCTGATCAAAATAGTCGAAATTCCACGAATCTGATGCTCCCATTGCACCTCATGACCTACATAGGTCTTGCTCCAACTCTTACAATACCGCCAAGACGGAAAAGGTGTGTAGAAATTCATACCCAAGTGCCGAATCAACAAATCATTGGGCCTATACTCCTGTTAAGAACCATCACCTCATTTTGAACCAAATAATGGTCTTAGCTCCTTAATATACTTCATATAATCAGTTTGCACTGATCCTAAATCCAATGATCTGGTCTCACCCAGTACGAACCGCTCAGGCAATAAGCCACCCCGAACATGATCAAAAGTCTCATATGATGCCACAATGTGCCAATAGGCTACGAACTCGAACGCGACAAAAGGAAAACGAACTCTTGAAGGAACCACACAACTCGCGCGCTAATATGAACTTTCCTTAGAAATTAGGAAGCAAGGCATACAAAAAATAGCATATAGAAAACTGTACTCAATATCACACTGTTGCGGCGTGCAACCCGATCCAAATAACGTACCCATGGTGGCGTGCCACCCGATCCAAATAACATATCCATGGCGGCGTGCCACCCGATCCAAATAACATATCCATGGCGGCGTGCCACCGGAGCCACACATAGAATTCACATAAGGAGATATACATCGAGCTAAACTGCTCATTATAACAAAATTCCGAATATCGGTCACAAGCACTCTAAGTGCATAGTAACATCCCTGGGGAGACATATAGTGCCATAGGCTACAAAACTCAAACACAACTGAGGTGCGATATACGATTTGAATCTCGGGAGCCATCCTGCTCATATAACATCATCTCTACGCGGAACCTCAACACATAAGAAATTCATCAAGCCGTCTCACAACTCGTACGGCGCAATATATAATTACATGAAATAGCTGACGACGAAATAGTACCCCGACTACTTGTCCAAAGGAGCGCATTGCTGAAATGAACACATCTGGCCTGATATAGAGCCCATGTTCACATTTAGATCCATCCACAGACCTCAAGCTGATTCTGATTACACTGAACTAGGCTAATAACCTTTTGTAGGTCACG